CCCATCCCTAAGCACCACATCTACATGTCTTTGAAATACCTCCAAGGATGGTGACTCAACCACTGCCATGGGCAGCCTGTTCCAGTGCTTGACAACCCTTTCAGTGAAGAAACTTTTACTAATATTCAATAGAAATCTTCCCTGGCACAACCTGAGGCCACTCCCTCTTGTCCTATTGCTTGTTACTTGGGAGAAGAGCCAACACCCACCTGGCTACAACCTCCTTTCAGGGAGAAGAGAGACCTAGTCCTCCAAAAGCAGGAACAGCTTTGCTGACACCAATAAAACTGCAGCCCTTACTCCAACGCTGAGCAGGGGTCCAAGGTATCTGCCTGCTCTGGCCCCTCTCGTGCTTGCAGGAGGAGGTGGGGCAGTGGAGCTCAGCTCTGGAGACAAATTTACCTTCACAATCAGTCCCTTGGAGTCCACCATCCAAATTTTTTTGATGGCATCCTCTCGTGAAATTCCTTCCTTTTCCATGGCCATGAGGATGAGATGAGCTATGCCCATTGCAGCCTGGAACACATTATTTAAACACTTCATTGGGGTATCAACATCTTTTGAAGGTGAAGATTTTAAATGAGAGATCTGTTGGGCCATCCTACAGTACCACACAAAGCCGGGAGGCTTTCTGCTCCATGGCTGTACAGTGCCATGGCATGGGGCTGATTTTAGTGCTGTAGGTGCCGCCATGAATAAAAAAGACCCCGACTGTCCAGCACAGCAGGTTGCCCGTGAGGCTGGAGCAGTGGAAGTGGCACCTTGACAGGCAGAGGCTGCCTCCATCATTTAAACCAGCTGCTGCAGGGGAGAAAACGGGGCAGACACTGAGCAAGCATTGGTGACGATGCCAGTACAGAGGAACTCAAAGCGAAGTGGGATTGCTGCATCTGAAGTACTGCCCAGAGGAAAGTCCTCTTCTCCCATTCCTGCCCTAGACATGCGGTGTGTCTTAGTGGTCCTACAGCTGTGCCCAGCTCTCCTGCCCAGATGGGGACTAACGAGGCAGGATGGTCTCTGTGCCACAGCACAGACATGTCTGTCAGGAGGGGTGGAGGAAGAGAAATCTTTGCATCACAGAGGGATAGACAAACAGTGAGTAACAGACCTTGCCCAAAATCCCACAGGTAGGTGAGAGCTGAGCCTGGACTTGGCTTTAGGAACTTTTTCTTCCCCCCTCTCTCTTTGAGCAATCCACCTTACAGACTACCTGACTTCTGCCATGAGGGCAATATGACTGACTCCAAAAAGTGAGGTTACACTTCTTTGAGTCTGAGTCCTTTTGACTCTATCGCTGAAGAGGCTCTGGTTTACCCTAAATACCAACCCTCAGGACTCAAACCAGCCTCCTTAACATTCCTGCAGCACCCTGCCTCATAAGGGACTTCCCTCAAGGTACTTAAAGCCCCACTGGCACATGGAGAGCCTCGTAGCATCCAGGAAGTCTGCCCAGGACTCGTGGGCTAAGAGGTCACTGAAAGATTGTTGGCAACTTCTACGCAGCAGCAAGATCCACCTGTGGGGCCCACTCCTGTCCAGTGACAAGGAACCTGCTCCTGTGCTTTGCTTTCATCAAGCCAAGCCTTGCAGGAAGTTTCATGGTTGACTTTTCTCTCTCTAAATTTGAATTTAGATCATATTTAGGAACAAATTCAAGAACATTCCTACCTCTCCAGCTCCTTGGAAAACAAACTTATGGTCAGAGAGCTTGTTCTTTGTGATCCTTAAGGCTGCAAAGATGCCAGCGACTGCAACAGACGCAGTGCCTGAAAAGAGAGAAGTACCATGAGATGGTCATCCTGGCAAATGGATTGTCTACCCCACTGATATGCTGTTAGAAACCTTGTGGTAGGAACCATTCTCTTAGATCCTGTCATGAAAGGATCAGAGTGCCTTCCTACTCTGAAATATTAATCCTCAGAAGATCCCTGCAAGGCAGGAGAATACCAGTTTCCCTCTATGTAGACTCAAAGAAGGGACACTGAGTCTCGGAATGCCAGAAGAAGTTAAAACCTAACTCTCAAGGGTTTAAGGTGCATGTGACTTGTTTAAGGTCATCTATAGCAGAGCAGTGGTCTGAACTTGGGCACCCTTGTCACAAAATCCTCTCTGATCATGGAACTACCATCCTCTTCTCATTTACCTTCACAGCCCAGCACCACCTTCTCTTTTTTTACTTCCCTGATACTCTGATACCCTGACTCAGATCCATCATGCCTCGCTGCCAAGCATTAAGGAGTCACTGAGAACATGAGTTGGTCCCAGATTAGTGAGAAACAATCCAGTATACAGAGAGCAGAGTCCTGCTGTTAGATCCACTGCGATATGTACAGCTTTCCATCCATCAAGGGAGGCAGATGCCTAGGCTGAATAAACCTGCCTTCACCCCACATCAATCACATACAGCATTCACCTAATGTCCTGTCCTAGGTGAAGGAACACGGTGGGAAGAAATCCAGTAAGGCACAGACTAATGAAGATTCAGGCACTGGTGGTGTCCCAGGTCACCTGGGCAAGCTGGATACAGGTGTTAAAGGAGAGCTAGGAATGATGGAGGCAGGTTTATCATAGAATACCTGAAGCCAGAAGGGACCCACAGGCATCGAGTCCATTAGTTTAATTCTGCAGCCTTCTAAAGGATGCCAGTTTGCATGTGCCCCCAGCTCTGATGCTGTCCCCAGCTCTAATGCTGGTCTCTCCATTCTCATCTTCAGAAGCTTTGTGAGAAATCAAGGAGTCCACAAGTAACAAGTCTTGTGTGGGTGGTCATAGGTGGGGCGGACAACGAACCCTTTTAGGCTAATAAACCTGATTCCACCAAATTTCCAGCATCTCCTATTTTCCTGCCCACTTAATTAGCCAGTGCATCAAGGTCGTAATCAGCCAGTGCTTCAGTGAGACCCCTTGCAGGGTCCTCAGGGCCTGGGGTGCTGCCGGGCATCACCCAACATTCTGGTTGGGAAACGAGAGCAGCTCATGAGCAAAGCACGGCCATGAGCAGTGAAACCAGCAGATGGTGCTGCCTCATCTGTCAAGGACCGAGAAAATCAATTCCACTTTACCTGCTCCTTTTCTTTAGTGCAAAAGCCACAGCTAAACCAGAAATCTGCTGGTATATCACAGCATCGGGGAATGATTATTTCCATGCAAGCAGAAAAGCTAGTGGGAGCACAGTTACTCTGGCAGAGTAGCTTCTATTGACATGGCTTATTTTGCTTAGCGAACCTATATAAGCTACTCTGGCAAAGAAAATCCTTTATTGGCCAGACTAGAAGTGTTTATCAGCATCATTTCTTACTCCTGAGGGCATTGGAAGCATGTGTCCTAAACACGAAGTGGACTGGACTAATGGTTGATGGCTTCTTAAGCTTCTTTCTTGCAAAGAATCGCTTGAGACACTCACTTCAGCACCAGGGATGAATTCCTTTCATGACCTCAGAAAACAGTTTGGATCAGTTTATTTCCAGATCCAGACTGTCTGAGTTCAGTCAGTTTAAAAGGGAATTGATGGGGATGGAACCAGCCACTGAGTGCTCTGCTGCTTCAGGATTAACATGTCAACTTGGACAACTGAAGGATGTATATGAAGGATTTCCTCTTGCTTCTCCTGCACTAAATCTTTGTCTTTTTAAGCTGTATTTAGAGTAATGTATTTACCTGGCAAAATGCCATGCCAGGCATGAAAAGAAGATAATGGAAGATAATGAACATCCAGTTTAAGGGAACACCAGATAATTGCCTAGTTTTTAGATTTTGCTTTTTATGGGTGTCATACAGCTAGCCCATGCTCATTTTCTGTATTTTGGTAAGTCTATGATCAGCAGGACTGCTCGGTTTGCTGCCATGCCGGGTGCTAAGGATGGGACTCCTCTGAACAAACATGTATGATCCTGCTCATGCTAAAGCCTGACACCTGAACCGGGTCAAATGAAATGCACCCTAAAAGTGTCACTACCACCACATTTTTTTAAGAGAGACAAGATAACTGGAGTACATGCAGACACTTCTAATGCAGACATCTAAAGTTTGGAGGAAGGGATCCCACCCTGGCAGTCTGAACTGCAAAGAAGCGGGGAGAGACCAAGGTCCCTCAGTTGTCAGCGACGCCAAGCTTGTGACACACAGTTGAGTATGAACACCTACATACATGCTCACACATGCTCACATGCTATCTCCCAGGCTAACTTTGCACAGAAATTCCCAAATCCCTGTGTGGGGGGAGTGGGGAACCGATCAGAGGAAAAAAAAATCCAAAAGTTGGAACAATTACAGTGCGACAGTGAAAGTGTCAGGTCACAGCATTAGCAGCAACAGATGCATGGAAAGTATTTAAAAGAAACAAAACTGGAGAAATATCTTGTTTCTCTTGGTCCTGACCAAGGCAAAATTGCTTTATACCCTATGATTGCCTGATGGGACAAATGCTGGTATCTGCAAACCCACTGAAATGGAAAATGCTCGTGGGACATTCAGCAGAGATCTTTTTCAAGATGTTACTAGCAGGAATTTGAAAAGTAGGGCGTACGGAAGGAAAGCGTGCATGGATTCCGTCTGCAGAGCAGCGTGCATTTTGCAGAGCGGAGACCTGTGGGACTGGGTGTGCCGTTACTCATCCCCCTGCGCTTGCACTGCAGCTCTGACTAACAGCAGGACCCTCCATTCCAAATCCTCCTCCTCTCTCTCCAATGTGTTTCTAATCCCTCCACGTCTCCCAAACTGCATCTCACGCCCATTACTCAAGTAACAAAGTTACTATACCTTGGCCTCAGCTCAGTATTTTTCTTTGATAATTACAATTTCTGAGCATGGAACAATGGAGCATTTCTATGGAGGAGAGTTCACAGCTGGTTCGTATAAGGAATTGGCTAATCATTGTGCTTCAATTCCAAAAAGACCACAAAATGAGATAGAGGGGGAAAAAAACCCCTCACCATGAGTTGTTGCAAGAAAAAAATCAACTATCCTTCAACGAGTTGGTCTATCTGTTTTCCAAAGAGGTTGAACGCTGCTATTGCAGATAACTACTTCCTTAAGTAATTAGCAAGAGCCAGCTTGGCTGGCTTGTATCTGAGGTGAGATATGGAGGGGCACAGAGAGAAGAAAGGAAAATGCTCACAAATCATCCTGTCCGTCCAAGACTCAAAGTGAATGCTCAACATAATATCACAAAATAGCAAGCAGACCTTAGGAGCCGCTCTGGGGAGTCCAGAGCAACAGGACTGGCAAAGAAAAGAGGCATTTAAAACTAAGGTACCCTCAGGTCACCCCTGTAGGAATTAATCTGTCAGGCACATTCAGAATACTGTAAAACATTAAGGAAACCCCTGCTGAGGCTGATTTTCCACTTGCACTAGTGTAAGTCAGAAAAAGCCTCAATAGATGTCAGTGGAGCTACACTGGAGCAGAACCAGGGCAAAAGGATCTGCTCCACTGCTTGAAGACACTGCACAGATGGAAAAGGGTGGAGCCCAGAGGCACCCATGCCCGGGGATTTTATCCTTCCTTCAGAGCGGGGAGAGCGGACAGAGGGGCGAACGGCTTCGCACGTGGAGTTACAGGCAGCGCTGGCACAAGTGCAACAGGGCAAGTGCTGCCCAGCACCGATGTCAAGGCTGTACCGCGTGTGTCAGCACCCAGTGGCTAAGCAGGGGACATGGGGGGAAGTGGGGACCCTGAGGATGCTTGGGGGCAGGAGTCCCCCCATGCTGAGGGCTGGCACTGCCCTGTCACCTGGCCTGGGTGCTGGCCGAGCGGAGCAGAGCATCACCACCACGCTGAATCCTGATAGCAGCAGTGATGGGGGGCATGCAGGCACAGCACTGCCCGTTTCTTCTTACAGCACCCATGTGGGTGATTCCCCTTTCTCCACAGCACACTGGTGGAAGAGATGGCCAAATTCAGCCTGATCTTTTATTTTTTACCCTTGCCCCGCCTTCTTACACTTTGTCCCATCAAAACCATGCCAAGATGAGGGCCCAGGGAACAGCAAACACCACTTTAACAGCTCCAGCAAAGGGCAGCCAAGAAAATACATCTAAATTTATGGATGCAGAGGAAGCATAGGGCTTTTCCAAATCCTGGTTCACATTAACTCCCTGCAGCAGTTCCGCCTGTTACTGGAAAGCAGAATGGAGCTTGTCCGGATCCACTCCAAATACATAATCAAAAGTCAAACACGACAAAGCCGAAGCAAAAAGCTGCCGAAGTGTTTGCAGCTCAAGGTCTTCACCTCTATGGCTGCGGGCTAGTGTTAGCCTTCCCCCAAAGGGGCCTCTGTAAGACATTAAGAAAATAAACCTAGAAATGGTGTGGAGCGAGTCAACGAGAACAGCAGTAAAACATAAAGCATTGATGCTCAGGGAGGGAACTCGCTTTCTCCACTGACAGATTTAGGGACACTGGTGACCCAGAAGAGGTGGTGGTATGGTGAAGAGCTGTCTGACAATGGAGATGCAGAGCTCATCTTAAAGTAGATGCCTAATATAGGTCATCTCTAGGTGCCTGGTTTTAATCCTTGCACTGTAACGTGCTTGGATTATAGAGTGCAGTGCCTTAGAACTGCGTCGGCGCGCTGGCCTGCAGCACTGCCCTCGCTCCTGCCTGCGCAGGCTGTGCCAGCGGGCAGACCGAACCCTCTCGTCCACAAAGGCAGAGGCTACCAGGCAGCTGCCAGCACTTTGCAAGAGGCCATCCCCGTCCCCATCGCAGCAGTGGGGACACTGTGGATGGATGTTGGTTTATACCCACAAGCTAAACCAGGTCAGAG